ATCCACAGACGCGCCGAGAGATCGCTTCCAGCATCGCCGGAGGCCTCCCCCTGCCACCGCCGGAGGTATGGCTTCTACGAGAATCATTTCTACCAGAGCCACCAGCGCAATCCAACTACCTCTGATAGAGCGCCCACCACCCATGCCGGAGCGAGGGTCCGTCATGCCTACGACATTCTGAGCGACCTTGCCCAGGACACCATAAGTTTCTCCACGAGAGATGTCTATGAGATCAGGCATCTCCCCCGCCATCGGTTCTACTGGGATGACATGCTCCCCGAACACCAGCACCTCATTTTCGATAGACTGGAACTCTTCCACGTCGTCGTGAGAGGGAACTGTAGGACGGCAGTCCTATCCCAGACATCGAGGATTCGAGTCTGAGGTTTCCAGAGAGCTCCCCGACCAGCTACCCAACCAGCCTCGACGCGGACGCCACACGCCTCGTGCTCCCGCGCACACCAGCTACCGCCCAGACACCAAGTCGAAGAGGCCCCCTAATCGTGAGTCCGGCAGCTACGCTGAGTCTTCGAAACCCACCAGTGCCGTCATCGACGGCACAGTCGTCTCCTCGAGGCTCCTGTGCGTTTTTCCTGTCGAGGACATTCTCGCCCATGCTCTTTGCGAGGCTGGCGTCTCGGCCGACCGCGCCCGAGCTTGATCTTGGATCGAAGAAAACGACCCAATAAATCCCGACTCGACAACCACCGCCACCGAGCGAATCCTGGAGTGGCTCAGCAGGACCGACAGTCATTGAGCCCCATGCCGATGACGGCTCCTTCGACACGTACGATGGCAAGGAGGAAAACCACACCAACACAAAGGAACACACTACAGACAAACAAAGCGTCGTCGAAGACTCTCAGTCGGACCTGGGTAGCACTGCCTACAAGTCAAAAGCGACGGGACCTACACCGCCAGTCCACTCGACCCAGCAGGCACCTGAAGTCGACTGGGCAGTGTTTAGTGAGGCAAGTAGTTTTCACGGGCCGCCCGACTACGGCGGACTTTCCATTCGCTGCACGAAGGCTTCTTGCCTCACGGCCCGCCCAGCCCAGCTCTCAATTTTATTACTTCATTCCACTTAGCAGTATTTTACTAGTGGATGGCTGTAGTTCTGTTCCTTCCTTCAGTGAAGCGAAGACTCGCCTGCATGTATGAGGTTGAAATCAACTGTAGCGACGAGAAAGTGCGAATGGTTCTTCCAGCATCAAGTGGGAACTTTCTTAGGGTAATTGTTTATAAATGGTGCCAAACAACAGAGTAGCGGTGTTTATTTTAATTTTTATTATATAGAACGCGATGATCCCCGAGTACTAGAAGTAACATGTAAGCTCGGGCATCAAACTAAATAATGTAAGTAGATGTAGTGAACAAGAGTTGGAGCTAGAAACGTGTGCAACTTCTGACCAATTAGAAGTATTAAGACGTTTCTAGGTTCCTTGTATTTCACGTTATTGGATATCTGAGACTACTTTAAACAGTTTTTTCTAAAATGGCTGTCTAGCATTTCAATTAGACAAATTATTGGAAAAACCGAAATAAACCGGTTTTTATGAACGTGTAACCGGTAACCGAAACCGTAAAAATTAAAACCGTAAAAAACCGAAACGAAACCGTTATCAACAGGAAGCGGTAACCGTAACCGTAACCGAAACGTTATATTTTTCGGTTTGAGTCCCTGGTTCAAGCTTGACAAAACATCGGGGAAGCCGGCGAGATTGTCCCAAGATCGAACACTTCGACGCTGTCGCTGTGCGCCGCCATGTTGCCTTGGATTTCGCTTACTATTGGTGAGCCACTAGTGACGATAGCGCGTTCTTATTGGCTCTTGACTGCGGTTGACTGCGTGTCAACGCAACTGTGCGTACAAGTTTGGCGCAAGCGGTCTTCGCAACGCAACGCGTCCGCTTGCCGCTACGGAACGCACCGCGCTCAAACGCTAATGTGCGTATGGGCCTTTACGAGTAGTGTTGTAGCGCCCCGCCTACACCTCCTGTTTTTTTTGTTTTTTTTTAAATCCAAATTTCGGTTTATTATCACCATCCACACACATATGCACTAATTGCGTATGTAAGAACATTTGCCGCGTTTCTATATCAGCGTCCCACATGTCTGCCATGGTACTGTTGATGCACACCCAATCACAGGAACCGGAACCGAAGTGCACTGACGTCACATCGCACACTTGTGAACACCAAGTAAAAGGAGAAGAGGGAAGCTGCCTTTGTAAGAATTTTGAGTGACAGGTTCATCTTCTATAATCTTCTGGGAGGAGAATAGCGACGCCTGTGCAAATCCGGGAGGCACAAAGGAGGATCCTGATAAGAGGGGAGCTCCTCCCCTTTCTCTGCAGGTCATCGGAAATGACGTCATGTGGAAGCCAACAGACGAGCGACGCTCATACGTCAAGTGAAATTACGTAGGTTGATAATGAGCCAGCACTGATCAGTGATGAGGAGCTGTTGTGCGCGGCATTCTAACGACTAAAAAAAATACTCACCAGCCATTGGTCCCGATCCCGCTGATCTTTTAGAAACTGTGCCGCACAATGCCACTTTTTTCGGACGCAGGACATGTGAGTCAGCTCTTCACGCAACTTTTTGGGTGTATGCATGCTTTTCGGAGCCGATCACGGAAATTCACCACGCGGGCACTCACTACTCATCTCCAAATCCTCTATGTACAGAGCGCGACACTGTTAGCGCGAAAAAGCGATCGCCGGGTTTTTCCAGTTTTTCTTGTTGACACCAAGGGATGTCATCCAAGTTATTATTGCTACGGAAAGAGCTGATTTAGCGATAAAATTTCGTGCTCGCTAATACTATTTGAAAGTAAAATGCGAAAATGCGCCGATGTCGCGTTCGCGCTAACAGTGTCGCGATGTGTACAAAACAACTCATCTTGAAGTACAGAACAACGAGCGAGTTCCCGCTACGCCGCCACGCATGTCAACTGCTACGCAGAGGTGAAGAAAAACATAAGAAAGCGAACGGCCGGGTGGAGCCCCATGACTTCCGCCACTCACTCTCCCCTTTTCCAACCTCCGTACGCGGTTTCGGTTTCGAGTAGTTGCGTCTTTTGGCTTTATTAAAAATAAACGCTTTGTTGCGACATATTAATTGGGTAGTCCTCCGATACCATAATAAGGCGCCTGGCAAAAAATAATAATATAAAAAAGGGGGGGGGGGGGGGGGGGTGTCACTGTCCCTTTAACCGAAGGTCCCCTATATTCTATCGTTGTAAGCAATGTCGCAAGCGTGTGAACTAGCTTTTAGGCTCCCGTTTTAAAGGAAACATGCAAAGGAAAACCTCTTAGCTCCATTTTGGTGAAGAAGAAAGACCAGCGAAGCTCTACTATGGTGAGAATGAAGTAATGGCTGGCCGCAAGTCGGCAAGCCAGAATGGAAACGCTTAGAAAGGCTCGAAAGGTTGCGCCGTCTATGAGCGATCAACACGAACACCGAACAGTACACGACCGACTTCAATGCACCCACAGCACATACAGACGCCATCCTGGACACATACGCACTCGTCACAGAATACTACCTTGCTAGCCGCCGAACACTTTCACCTCCCCATCCCGAACTCACCCGGGCCGAAGCGATGGACTGGAGGCAAATCCAAACTCTTTCTTTTGCCAATCTCTTTCATAAACAGTTTTTTTTTTTTTTTAACCCGCTACCCGGGCACCCGCCCGGGATGCGGGAATCTCCGCCCCACCCTTTACCACACCGTCTGGGAATGCACTAGCCCTCCGGGCAAAGGCATCACTCCCGCTCCTACCCCTACCCCAACCTCCTGGGAGGCGGCCCTGTCCAGCCCAGAGCTCGAGGACCAGCGTCAGCTGGTTCAGCGTGCCCGCCGGATTGGAGAAGCCAACGGAGCCCTGGACTATGGGCCCCGACCGGGACTCGTCGGTCTCCTAACCTTTTGAAAAATAAAGTTATACCACCACCACCTATGAGCGACGGCCGGCAAGCGGACAACCGGCTAACACAACTCACAGCTACCACCATCTATGAGTGACGGCGGCAACCAGTTTCGTGTCGACATTTCTTTGCGAGGGACACAATCCGGGGAAACCTAGCCCTTCACAGCTCCGTTGTAAAACAAAACTTTGACCGGCGCACAGGTCTATCACGTAATGTTTGTGCTCTTTCAGGAGCTTCCTTTGGGTGACTTATCCGTTTTTTGTTGCACTTCAAACTAAAATTAATAAGAAACTTTTAAAGACCACCGGAGGCTTACGGAAGAGCGCAAGCACATGATAAATAGCAGGCAGTCACGTGATAAATTGCGGCCACGCCGTAAGTATAAATTAAAAACTTTCTTGATCGTTGTAAATACGTTTCATGACTCATTTTCCCATCCAGGCTGCTTAAAAAAATGTTTGTCCTTCGCATGTTTTCTACAAGATCCTCCCCAGCAAACATAAATTACAAACCATGCAGCCGAGTTGTACTGGTTGCACTCGGCCTTTGACGTCACAGGTGGCACTCCTCCTGTACACTGTTGCAAGATTTAAAAGGGGCGGTGCACCGATTTTCAGACTCTGGCCAATTAACTGTGGGCATTAATCTGACACCTATAGGACGAAAACCAGAAAACATTACTCTCACGTCTTTCGAGTGCCGTACTCCGGTGGACCACCTGGTTTTCCCTTAGGTTCTCTTCAGAGACATCCCAAACCCTGTCCCACCTCCGCTTGGCCTGCCTTCGCAACACATCCCTTTCCCAGTCATGGTAACATCTCCCAACCACAATCACATCGTTGGTGTGAATGCTCATATCACATTCAAAGCCCTTTTCCAATTTGGCCCCACAAAGAGGAAGATGAGGCACACGTAGAAGCATCAACAGGTCACCCAACAGAGGCTAGTGTGAAAGCCAGGCAGCAACAGCAGCAGCAGTATTGTCAGCAGTAGCGATGAGCAGTTTCTCAGAGAATAAAAAGGGGAAGTAAAATACGGGAAGAGGAGACAGAGAGTCCAGAAGAGTACAGATACTTCTTTTAATCCCAGAGAAGAAAGGATACATAGCAAAAAATAAGAGGACAGGGAGCCCATATGCAAGGAGAATACCCAAGAGAGACAAACACACATGTCCACAGAGATGTTTATAATTGATTAGGGAAAAAAAGGGAAGCTCAAGAAATTTCCCAGAGAATACAAAAAAAAAATGCGCACACAGAGACACACAGATCCCGGTCAGCTCATACATGAGGCCAACAAAACCACCATGGTTAAGAGAAAAGAAAAAAAAAAGAAGAATGGGACGACCCCAAACAGGCGATTAATAACGGCAGCCAAGTTTCAGGAACCCGCAGTACGGGGAAGTTGAGGGAAAACAGGGAAAGAAAGAATACAAATGCACCGACCCAACCTTCTGCACTCAAAAAGGCGACCGAGTGTCTATTCGGTTCTACTTTGAGTCCTCCGAAAAAAAAACTAATACGGCCAGGAGGTCGCCATACCCTCGTTCAACAATCAATCGACCCTCCGCCGCCGTTCCCTACTCTAATCCCATTGGTCGTTGGTCAGCACGCCACTTTCGTGCCGACGATTCAGTCGCCAAAGCGGCAGTCGTAAAGCTCCGTCCTCGCCAGAGAGGGAACGCGCTGACGACTCCGAGGACGCGACTCGACGTGGTCGTTAACAACTCGCTAAATGTATACACTCTACGCACGTTTAAAAAATAGACTCATATTCCGTGATCCCATTTGTATATCGTGTGGCATATAGTGTGTGTGTGTATAGTAGTAGTAGTAATAATAGTAGCAGTAGTAGTAGTACTCTCGCCAACACGCCCAGCCTAGTTGTTCGGTTCCGGTGCTGTGATATGTGGCACGCCCGTGCGGAGAAAGCAAAAACAAGTCTGTGCATAACAACGTGGGGTTCCCTTTTTCTTTCGCGCACCCCGGGAAACGAGAAATTTCGGTCGAACGGCAGAGCACCCTATGCGCAAAAAAACTTGCGAGTAAAAAAGAAACAAAAACCGGTAGGGCAAAGCTCGCAAAAAACAGCACATCCCTCGAGGGAGCAAATGTATACATTCGGTAACTGCGGTAGAAAGCTACAAAACTTCTATATAAGAGACCCTGTAAGGTTCTTTCCTCCCTGCATAAACCGACAGAAGACGAGCGCGAGAGAAGCAACAACGAAGCAGCCAGCGCAGCAGGCGTCGTGTAAGAGTGGGGAAAAAAAAAAAAAAAAGATGCAAAGAGTGGTCTTTGTTGTTCGGTTGCGGCTGCTCCGTAGCTTTTATCACATCGAAAAGCCGACGACGGCGTAACGCCGATCGGCACCCCGAAGATCGGCTTCCCGAAAAATCGGCGCGGCACTGGAAATCTCGCAGAGACAAACCGATCACACTCGACGGTAGTGGCGGCAATACACGGCAGTTGTTTAAAAAAAAAAAAAGGGATCGTTCGTTTCTGGTTTTTATTCGCAGTACTCGACTCCCGGTAGTATAAAAAGTGGCTCAGGAAAAACCGACCCACCGGTTTTACCGTACGCCTCATAATACATGGAGGGGGAAAAAAGTTTTTTTTTTTGTTCGCACATCAGATCTACAGCCACCGATACTAAAACAAACAAAAAAGATAACCTCTGAGCCGCACCAAATTGATTGGCGAGAAATATTATACAAGTTCGAAAATAAGGAACGAAAACCGACAAGGGAGTAATGGCTGATAGTAAGAGTACTAGGAATAATAATAATAATAATAATGATAATACAGGAACTGTTGGAATGCTAGAAGATTCGGGCGTTGGGGGAGAGCGGCCAGTAAAGAAAAAACGGCAAGACTCTGCTCTGTTTTGCGTCCGGACAAACTCGTCGGCGTTAGGGCGCGTGGAGAACGCGGGAAAAAAGGGGGAGTAGAAAAATAAACGTAAGAGCGCGCAGAAAAGAGAAAGAACGGAAACGAAAACGATAAAAAATATCGGGCAATTGGTCCCCAGGTGCATCCATTGCCAACGGTGCCGAGCAAGTGAACGTCCCAGAAAGTGAAAAAGTAATTACCACCACGATTCTGTATGTACAGACACCCAAGTAAGGCCCGCCTTCTGGAATTTGGTGGCACACACAAACACAAAAAAAAAAAGAGCAAACAAAAGTCAAGTGCTAAAGCAAATTTAAGGCTTCTTCTGTTGCGCCTTTTTCTTTTTTTAAGAGCAACAAAGTTTGGATCTTCTGTCAACGTCTAAGCAAAAAAAAACCAAAAAAAAAACAGTAATTTAAGCAAACTGAAGACAAAGCGAGAAAAAATTTAACAAAAAAGGGAGGCAAAAGAAAAAAATAGTAACTACACCCTGCCAATCTCCTATGGAGAAATTACAAAGATTCGAAAAAATTACACGAATGCACACCCTGGAAATCCTGTTTGTTTTTTCTTATATGTTTTTGTTTACGAAGAGGCACTGCATAGGTCGCCTTAGAAACCTCAGAACGGGAAATAGTTACGGAAAATAAAAGCGAAAGAACGGGAAAGACTCCCCAGTTGAGAAAGAGACGGTAGAAAACACGAGAAACGTCCGGTCTTTACAAATAGAAGGAAACGGCGGGAAAAAAAGAGAGATAAAGTTAACTCATCTTATGAAGGGCCAGTAGTGAAGCGGTATTATTATAACCAGGGCAATGAAAGGAGAAAAAAAGAGGGGGGAAACACAACACGTACGAGGAAAGAAAATTAACTCGGGATTAAAAAAAAAAGGAAAACGGAGGTACATACACTTTTTCCCCCCCTTTTTCCCAATCCCGTACGAAGTCCTGTGGGTGAGGCCACAAACCAGCATGGCCCCCTTTCCCACACTCCCATGTTTTTTTTCCTCTCTTAAAAAAAAAAAAAAAGATACAAAACAAAGAACAGATTCCCCTCATCCCCACCCACAAGCTAATGACGATGGGCTTCTTTTTGCATTTTTAAGACGGAGGCAGCGACGACGGAGAACGACGACGACACCATGCCGCGCCCCGCTCAGATTGTCGACTTGGAGAAGGACACACGCAGATGATTGGAATCGCTCAGCTGGTAGTTGTGCATTTTCTGCGGGGACAGAAAGAAAGAACAAAAAACATGCGTCGACGTGTGCTCCAGAAGCAAAGTCGGCAAAGTGCGATTACAAGAGGCCCCACTCCGTCGGTGACCTTCGTACCATGTGCAGTCGGTCTCTCGAGAAAAAATTAACGATAATGATGATATGACTCGCTTGTTCTCCAGAGAAACGTGACTGAAGTTGTGAAAGGAAAGCCCTTTCTGACCAGGTGCCCTTGGTGAGAGTTCACTACTTCTATAAGCACTCAATAGGACTAACCCATCGCGATTATGCAAGCAGAACTGTCCTGACAATCTGCTTTCATTATTCATGCATGCTTTTTAATTTTTTTTAAGGGGGTTAAATTTGAAATTAAAGCAAGAATATTTGCATAGAGTAAGCAGATTTATAAATCCCCTTGATTAGAATAGCTGGGCATCCCTTTAGGTTTAATTTTATGTCAAATCTGCCATTCACATGCCACCCCAATGTGGGCGTTGGACTTTCCGAAGCCACGGTTCATGGCTATAATAACAGTAAAACCTTGTTTATTCGAATCTTATGGGACCGGCTTAAATTTCCGAATTATCCGAAAGTCGAAATATCGAACGGACAAAGAAAATTGCGCAAAAATGTTTATCTTTGACATACCTCTATTTTGAGAAGAAATCAGTTATTGCTGCCTGCTTTCTAAACGACATTTGGGCGGAGACGACAACTTTCCTTAGCGAGATCGGGTGCTCCACCACACTCGCGCTGTCGGAGATCTTGTAGCAAACTTCTTCGAGCACAACAAGAGCCTCCGCAGCCTCTCGCACAGTGCGAAGCGGCGGCGGCGGCTCCTCACACGGACAGTCTTCATCTTTGTCTGAAGCACGCCCGTCGTCACAAAGGGCCTGCCTGATGATCTCGTCGTCACTCGGCTGACCGGCCACAACAACACTGTCATCAATCGCAAGATAGTCAGCAAGTTGCACTTGGACGGGAAGGAACCATTGAAACAACCGTCGCCGTCTTCAGAGACGTCTGGGTGTCTCCACCACCTGACAAGCTAAGCCGCAGCGCTTAAAACAGTTTGCGATAACCTCAGCGGGTGTGTTGTTCCACACGTGCGACAAAATATGGATCACGCTGAGAAGCGAAACTTTGTATTCCTTCTCAGTTTCAGTGCACAACAACATTCACTCCAATACGTGCTTTTCACATACTGAATTATTCCTTGATCCATGGGTTGAAGGGCAGCAGTAGTGTTCGGAGGCAAAAACACGACCCGAATGCACTGCAGTCCCGATACGTTGGAGTGGGCGTTGCAATCATAGACAAACATCAACCCCTTGCGCTTCTTAGCGTGGAAGCGTCGGTCTAGCTGGTGCAGCCAAGCTCGAAAAATTTCAGACGTCTCCCAGGCCTTCCAGTTCGATTGGTAGCCCACGGGAAGCTGTTTGAGATTTTTGAAATCTCTCGGCTCCTTTGCCTTTCCAACACCAAGAAGTGGCAAGCGCTTTGTTCCAGTCATGCTTGCGTGGAGGAGAACTGTGACCCTTTCTTTACTTCTTTTGCCCCCTGTGCAGGGGGTCTCCTTTCAGTGTGATGGTTTTGTCTCGTAGGGCTTCATAAAACAACGCTGTCTCGTCTGTGTTGAAGATGCCGTTCCGTTTATATGCTGCAAGGTGCTCGCGAAGCTTAACATTTTTCCAGTGATCGATTACATTGCCGTCGATGGTGCCTTTCTATCCGCACACGTGTCTGAAGATCAATCATTGTCTGTCTTTGAAGCGGGCAAACCAGCCTTCCGATGCTTTGAACAAAACAATTTTCATCTTCACTGCATACTTCTCTGCTTGAGCACAGATCAGAGGACCCCTCAAGGGCAGCTGCACGTCTAGTGCGCCGACGATCCACCGCAGCAAGGCCTCTTATAGTATCCGGAGCTCACTTCCGCAGCCACTTTCGTTTGATGTTGAACTTCTTGCTCTCAAAAGCCCATAGGATCTCACCCTCATTCTTCATGTATGTGGCCAAAGTGCTTCTCCTGACGTTGTACCTTTCCATCACTTGTCGTCGAGAGACGCCGTCCTTCAAGGCCCTCAGTATTTCCACTTTCGTCCCTAAATCCTAGGCCTGGTACTTCAGCCGTTTCGCTGGCGTTGCCGCCATGAAAGTTGCTGCACGTGATGACGACATGCCAGGAGCGTACAACCAGTGCGCTGAACAAACGGCGTTTCAGAGCAAAACTGGCGCGAATCACGCGGAGAACCGGAAGAGATTGGAAAAAACCACGTGTGCACCTTAGATGGATAGCGGTCATACCCCTTAGAATGGGTGGTAGCTTGCACCACCTGCCGAATTCATCCGAATCAACTGTAGCGCACCCAACTGCCACCGAATTAACGAGCCTTCGGTGCCACTGACTAATACAGACGTTTGACAGGACCAGATCGGCAGTCCAAATTATCCAAATTTCCGAATCAGCGGGCGTTGAATTAACGAGGTTTTACTGTATATTAATAACTGAGGTTAGGTGGACAAGTGGAAGGTTCAGCTGAATTTTCGTTTAAGCATGGTACCACGGCAATAAAATTCTCGAAGAAACTATTCAATACTCTGGTAGAAAGTATCTGGTCAAAACCACTATTCACCTTGAACTTCAATGTTTTATGTGTGTGCCTGCTTATAAATAGACCTGTGTAGAGGAGGAAGGTGCAAAAAATCTGCTTGGTATGTGTAGCTATCCTTATACCAGATCACTACTTTGTCTAGCAACATATTTAGATGAATTTCTGCTAATTCAAACTTCTGATAGCTCAAACTATAGTCTCTGGCTACCTGAAGTTTGAACTAATGAGTCAACTGCACACATACACAAAGATACAGGCAACAGCGTCATTAATATTGGGTTGGGGAGGGGGGGGGGGGGGGGTTGATACAAATGGAGCATTACTCACGATGAGAGCGGTGACAGCCTCTTCGATGGAGCTCATTTGGATGAGAGCCATTTTCCTGTCTTTCCTGCACGAGAGACAACAAGCGTCAGCCACAGCCCTTCGAAAACTCTTACTCCGCGCCGTTGGCGAGGTTGTGCGTGAGGTGGCGAGAAGTTTTTTCGGAGTGCCATCTCTTTCGGAAAGACTCCAAAACAAAACAGAGAGATCGACAACTTTTTGAGCATCTGCAACGGTCATTCAGAACCGCAACCATGACAAAGTTCTGTGGCTCATCACAAAATCTAGCATCACCAGCTTTTCCCACCGTCTCGGCTAAATATGAAACTCGCAATGAGGCGTCAGAACTGTAGCCGAGACGAAAGTAAGCTCAAAACGGGACACGACGAACATTTCTAGCCCGCCCAGCTTCGACACGTGTCCTCTCCCATACCTGCAACTCCCGCCGATATAATCCTAGTAAGTCAATGAGAGCTAGTTCGAGATCCTCCGGAACGGTTGTCATCACGATTCTCTTTGTGGGCCAGCTCAGCGCCAGAAGCGGCCAACAGCAAACAACTCACGGGAAAAACTTGAAGGCCACCACGGTGCCGCCGGTCTGCGTGAAGGCTTCCCGGATCTGCTCCTCCGACACCGTTGGACTGCAGACGGGAAAGTACGAGCATATGTCTTAATGTTCTGATGTTTCGGAACAACAATACGGAACAATCTCAATGGTCCAGAAGATGGCCCATATTTTGAACGTTCCTCTCCAATGGAAGACTTTGCAAGTTTCTTCAGTCACAGTGAGAGGAACGCAACGTAGCTACAAGCTCTGAAAACCCATCTGCTAAAGGAAACGGATTAAGGGGAGGCACAGCCTAGAAATCGCAACTTTTTCAAAAAAAAAAAAAGTGTTTTTGAAAATCAGTTTTATCATCATCTACAACTCATAAAGAATGCTCTCACAAACTTTTATTCTTGTGCACAAGGTATTTACTCTGCAATAAATTATTTTCGATACATTGGCGGTCACGCGCGCTCGCCAGAGACTCGAGCACACCCGCACGTTTACCACTAGCCGCTCGTTGGCTAGGTGTAGCGTGGCGTGGGACCCCTCGTAAGGAAGAGCAGTTCTTTCTCTTTTGCTTACGCACCGGCTTGTTGTTCAATGCCGTGCGTTCAGGCGCGGTAACTCCCGCGAAAGCATCCTTTGGAAAGAGCTATGAAACGCTGTGCGCGCTCCTATTGGGTAGCTTGACGCATTCAGAGCTCCGATTCGCTTGGACAAGCCAGTGACTAAAAAGAAACTCGCTCGCCCACGTGATCGCCTGCCGAGTTGAGTAGTTTCGTTTCCAACCTGCGTAGCACGCCCTTGCTTAATTTACGGTTTTCGAGTTTATTGATACGATGCCGGCGGTGAATGGCAAAAAGTTGTTTACGTTTGGTGCTCAGAAGCATAAGCTGGGAAAATCGAGAGGCATTGTAGAAGTTCGACCTCGCAAAACTGCCGTCCCCGAGTCGCTTGGAGTTGTCGAGACCAACGTCGGAACAATCGCTACCTTCAAACCTGTCACCATCTCCTGGCCCATCTTCGCCTGAAGAGTTGGGACTGCGCGGGACAATGGAGGCTTCTGTCGCCGCTTCCAACTCCTGACACTCCAAAGGAAGATGAGCTGACCGTGATTGAGCGCAAGATGGAAATGCTATGACGGGACGAGTCCTCCAGAGAGCCACTAGGCCTAGATAACAGCTGTGGCACAGTGAACTCAAAGGCTACCGCTTGCTCGAAGTTTCTTGTGTCAAGGCTTTGGTAGGAGCTCCGCTGTGCCCAGACTATGCCGGGTCTTGCCCACAGCTACAGGAAAGTGGCAAAGGTGCGCTCCTCCGTCGTGTGGAGAGGTGGCGAGCGCACCATACTCGTCGAACATTGTACCTCCACCGATGTGCCTGAAGTCTTCCCAGAAGATAGCATCAAAAGTGTTTTTGACGCAGCTACAAAGGCCGCCAGTAAAGTGATGCAGAGCGCGGCGCAGTCCGTACGTAAAGCAGAGAAGTCCGGAGACGACGAACTTTTGGACGTGTGCACGTTCGTACGACGGGACTTGGCATAAACGTGGCCACACCTCCCACTTTGTTGTTGGCGTGGCAGTGGAACTGAACAGCGGCCTGTTGTACAGAGCAACTATTGCCTATAGTGCACTCAAGGTCCAAAGCCAAGGTCTCAGGAATATGAAGAATGGTTTGAAAGCCACAGTCCTGACTGTAAAAAGAATTGCCAAAGGTCTGCTCATGACATTGAAGTGGAAGCTGCTTCAGCCATTTTTGGGCGTTCTGTGGAGCGACACAACAAGCAGTATAACACGGTACTCTGCGACGGTGACAGCAAAGCGTTTTTAAAGGTTGCTAGACTTGGTTTATACGACAAGGAAGTGAAGAAAGAGGACTGTATCAACCACGTTGCAAAGCGCATGTATGCTGGCCTGGACGCTCTGAAAAAGGCAAAGAAAGGCCTTGGTGGAAAGGGCAAGCTACCGAATGTTAAAATGAAGCAGCTGACAAACTACTACCCCCCCCACCTGCACCCTGAAAAACAATGCACAGATGTCCCAGTGATGCAGCGGGGAGTGCTTGCCACACTCCTGCACTCTTACTCGACAGACGACGAGCCACGACACACAGCTTGCCCCACTGGAAGTGACTCCTGGTGCCACTTAAACAGGAGCAAGACACTCGAAGACTGCAGGAAAGCCACCTACGTTTAGGCCCCACAAGCCAGCCTTTTCCAGGGAGTTAGCCAAGGAGCTGGTACTCGTCTACAATCTCCTGTCGCGTAGCGACTTGCTCGAGCGCTGTTTGAGGATGAAAACTCAAAACGCAAATGAGTCATTCAATGCTCTAGTGTGGAAGAGGTGCCCCAAGGTGGAATTTGCCCCGCTCAAGACTGTCGAGTCAGCCGTGGCCTTGGCAGTCTTTGAATTTAATCTGGGACCTCGAGGCTTCCAGCACGCCCTTTCCGTGATGGGAATCAAGCCAGGGGGCCATCGCACCGGGAATGCTGCAAAGGCCACTCAAAAGAAGATCGGAAAGGCCCAAAACAAAGGAACTGGAGTCATCCAAAGCGTCGCATAAGCGGAGTAAGATGGAAGCCGTGGCTAAGGCGCAGAAAGATCGTGAAGAGGAAGGACTGGCCTATGGTCCTGGAGCGTTTTAGATGATACAGTAAGCACTGTTTTCAGCCAAACACTGTTTGAACTTTCAAACACATTTTTCTCAGTTTTCCATGTTGAACACTTTGCCATTTTTGAAAAACTATAATTTTTTAGAGTTTGGACTGAGACTCCTGAAGTGTTGTTTTTCTGGAGTGAAATTTACTGGAGAATTTAGTAAGGTACTTTGTTTTTAATAATTTTCAGCTGTTCAAAAAAAAGTTGATTTTAGAAAAAGTCATCAAGAAAAAAATGAAGCCGTTTTTAAACTTCCTGTTTTCATGCTCAGGCTTGTTATATTAAATAATTCTACATACCTTACTTTGCTCATTACTTATTGAACATTATACATATGCAAAAAATGTTGTAATTTTTTTAAATTAGATTTTTTTTATTGGTGCTGCATCAGTCTTCTTATTCATGACAAATTGCACCGTAACTTGGCACAAAATTTTCCTTGTTGGTTGAAATTTTGCTTGCCTTCCCAAGTTTGCATAATTAACATATGGTAAAAGTAACATTGCAATCGGCAAAGTATTTAAAATAGACAACTGCAGGCCGTGCCTCCCTTAATTCACCATGGTACAGAGAAAGTCATGAGGGAGTTTTAGATTAACATATGCAATTTTAGCGCACGCTAGCGCTAAATTTAGCGCTTGCGTTACCGCGCGTGACGCAAGAGAGTTTTAGAATAACGTTTCTCCGCCACGACGCAAAAGCCCAAGCATCTCGCGCTTGCAACGCCACCAAGATACTGTCACAATTTTATTTCACAGACGCAATGTGTAACTTGAGAAAAAAACAAGATTTTTGGTTCAGAGTAACATTTTACATTTGTTTAAACTTGAAAATGCAACGCGAGTGGTCGAGCGGTCGTGTCCACATGCGTCGCCTTGGCAAAAAATGTACTGAACTTCGGCGATAAACGTCCACTCGTTGCAAGCATCAAGTTGCCGGTGATCGTTGCCCACCTTATTGGGTTTTCGAAACCGAATGCAATGTCGTCCTGTATTGAAAATCGCAGTTGCGAGGATGCCTCCGACGTCGCGCTCACGGCGCCGCCAAAGCGGCCGCAGCCATGGTCCAAGGGGCCGCAATTTTTTTAACTGTGCTCGTCATTGCTTTAGTAAGCCACTGCAGCTTCAGCAAACTTTTCATCACGAATTCTCCTTGGAGGAGCACAAAGACTCTTTGCGTACGCACGCAATTTCTGAAAAATAGCATGGCTACAATAGAGCACGCAAATCGCAAAACGTGATTAGCGTTCGGCGCACGCGCTGTGGCGACAACGCTATTCTTTGCGTATGCAAAGCCTTAGCTTGCGCTATTCTAAAACTACCTATTAAAACAAATTGGCCGTCTCGAATCGGCAACTGCATATATTCAGTTTCACTTTAAGTGCGAATGTACGCACTCAAGCGGTGGAAGCGTTGTTCAGGGTAATCCGATCGTGCTCGTAGGTGCGGCATCGCTCGCACACAGAGTGAAACACACCATGTTCAAATGGTATCTGGCTTTGGCAAAGGCAAGACACAAGACCTTCTCCGTGCATTCATGAGACAAGGTTTGAAAAAGCACTTTCACGTGCATCACTCCCCACTAATACACCTAAACTGCAGAGGCCAAAAACAAGCCGTTTGAACCTTCAGATGATGTGGAATAAGGAACGGTGCAGCCGAATTTACTTCCGTAAGGGGAAAGCGGAGACATGACACAGGACTCACGGTATGTTGGAGAGGTGGAGGGTGCCCGACGGGGGATAGATGTTCTGGTAGTTCTTGGAGCCGGGCTTCTTGAAGCGATGCAGCGGAGAACTGATGTAGTCTTTGGTCAAGCCCGCATCCTGGGGAAAAAAAAAAACCCACGCAGCCAAGTGTATGAGAATGAATGTCGTCCCAGGAAGTCTAAGTGAGACTGAGAGAACGAAGATTGTGAAACACTTTTCTTTCTGACAAGCAAGCTTGAAGGCAAAAGCATGCATATACTCTCTGAAGGGCCTCGAAACCGTAACCTTTAATTGTTTTTTGAGAGCAACGCCCTTTTTTTAACATTTCTCGACGTCTACTACTCTTCCGAAGCGGTCCTCCTACGCAAACAAGACTGCAGCTACACTCGGCGTGATGCTTCTGTGCTGCGTTCTCGAAGCTAGCACAGTTTCCGCGGTGCCCCGACACAATCGGGGCCACTTGCATGACAGCGCAGCTTTGTTCAACATCCCCTTTACACAAGGTCACAAATAAGATGCAGTAGGATGCCATATGCTGCTACGGCAGTGCGAGGTTGTGGCCCGGTGGCACCTACGCTACCCTCTGCAACGTAGCACAAAAGAAGTTGATGCCAGGAATGGCTCTCACAAGTTCCTATTTAAATAATTGCCTGGCCCGTCGGTCGTAGCGTTTCTTGGATCATACATTTGTACGTCCCTATTTGCGATTCACCGAAAAAGTGTATTGAAGAGTTTCTACTGTATTCGAGACTTTTCAAAGTTGTCAGCAGCCCGTGCAAACCCCGCGGAAGCAATGAAACTCCCCTCCTGCTCTTTTTACCGGTGCGCAGCAAGAGCGATTTCGGAAACGGCAGACGAGTGTGCACTCACGGGCTGTCCGTCTTTGGGCAACTGGACGATGTGGTGCTTGGAGGGTGTTACCCGCACCGGTTTCCCATGCACCTTGATTTTGTCGAGGTGGCTCATGGCTGCAAACGTAGGAGAGACACCCCTGACACAGCGAAAAAGTGTGACTCCGAAGACTCCCACTCGACTCCGGTCACTCAGAAGCCAGTAATGCAGTGGGAGTTACATGCCTCCCGGTAGGATCAACCGCCTCCCTCCCTTCTATCACTTTACTCTGCTCTCTGTGCGTGGGTGTTAGGTGATCATCTGGCAAAAAGTGATACAAGACTGTTCCGACGTGCCCGTAGTGTCCGCTGGACTGCCAGCTTAGGAGTGAACAGAGTATTCGCCTCAAGATCGAACCGTGTCGCCACCGTGCGGCCAAAAATGGAAACGTGCAAAAGCGGGGATACTGCCGTGCATCGTCTGCTACGGGCACACGTTCAGAAGCATGGATCCCGACGACGTAAGCGCATTTCCGGCTCAGCTGGGCCCTTTTTATGAAAAGCTTGTTTCCGTCTTCGTTTCTTCTTACAAAAAAGTTGTGTTGTGTCGTTTCACGCGCGTGGAAATTCAGCAAAGCAATGAATATTAAGTCATGTGCTACCATAATTTCGGTGTTGGGATTTGTGCAACCACTTATCTCGCATAATCCATAGCTTCCATAAAACATTGAATGTTGAGGGTTGATTAAAAAACGAACCCAACTGATTGCCACCCTTCAGTAAACTAATCAATTGTAAATACGTTAGTTGATTTGCCTCCAGTCGTACTGCATGAAAGACGTTAAACCTACAATTTGTTTTACTATTTCCTCACCATGTCTTAAATGGCATATTGCGGTCCGATTTTAAATTTCACGTTGTGATGCCTTGAGAAGTATGAACACAGGAAGCCTTTAAAAGTGAAGTAATTTTTAAGTTATCATTTAAAACCTCAATGACAATTGCAAGCATTCTGAGTTGATTTATTGTGCAAGCCTGTGCCCTAAAATATAAAAACTTCAAAAAAATTAAAGCAGGCATTTTTTTTTACTTTTCCTCTTCCCGATATTTTTCCAGCACAAAATTCCTTACACTGCAAAGAAAATATCGCAATGAAAGCATCGTTTAAATGCTCAGAAGGTTACTCGATGAACTGCCCAGACCCGGTATGCGTTACGTTAGAGCAAAGGGTTACCGGAAACTCTCGGGAGAGTCGCTAGCCCTCATCAGTAAAAAAAGTGTCGCTGCGGCTGATGCTGTCTGCGACGTGGTGTAGATCATTTGTTGGAGTTGCAGAGTCTACTACGTTTCAATAGACGAATATTTAGCCAGAAATTTATGATACTATCCTCTTGACATTCGAGACGCTCTCTGAAAGAATTGAAGCGTGTGAACCCACACCACCGAGAAGAGCATCTAATAATACGCACACTGCTGCATTCCTCGTTTACACTCGTTTATGCCACTCGTGGTATCCAGATACATTAAAACAGTTTGTTCCACTCGTTTCACTTGTCCTGCCAACAAACAGTTAGCGGATCGTAAATAGAAGAGGCACTATCTCCTCGTCGCAAAGTATTAGAATTATTCCGACTCCGAAAAACTTACCCACACCACGTCACAGGAAAGGAAAACATTGGCTGCAAGTCTAACCTTTTTACTCATAGAAGCTAGCAACCATCGCGGTAATTTCCATTACAACACTAACTTTTCTCAATGCGAAATATTTATATTACTGCAAAAACTAAAAGTAATGAAAAAAAAAATGCATAGAACCTCCGATTCCACAACCCACAGTACCAACATTATGTAAGTATCTGGGCTGGAATTCCTTGTTTTGTTGAATTTTCAAGCAAGTGAACCGATATATCTCTTTTTAGATAAAAAAAAATACTTAATATCAATAGTGCTGTTTACCCGGAAACAGGCATCCATCGTGGTGATCTATGCTTCCTAACGTCTGGCTAGAGCAGACGACGCATCCACAGAAGCAATTATTTAAATTTAGGCCGGACACTGGTACACGATTCAATCTTCACTAAAGCACCAAACAGTACCGCACCATTTTCTACTAAAATAGTCTTCCCACTGACACTATGCCACAAAATAAATGCAAGAATCTACACCGCCTTGAGCGCGAACGTGGAAAGCCTATGGGGTGGCCACGCTTTGACGATGATGATAGCACGACTGTTGCACCACTTCCCGGTCGATCTCGAGGCCAATAGACACCGAAGACACCGAAGCAAGAGCTTCGCCGTCGTCTGAAGCTTCGAACCAACCAGGCAAGCAGGTGCGATAAAAAAATTTGGGGGGGACTGGTGGCTTTTAATTTTCGATAGAATTGTACACACGCCGTGGCTTAGGCTAAATGGTTTGGGACAACCTCTTGGTGACTGGAACATCACCTCACTTTCTTAAAGCTTGGTACTACAGTACCACCCTGAACTCTTGTTTTAGCAAAGGTTAAAACGTCTCAAAAGACAATGCCTCTGGGAACCAGAGTGCACAACTGGAGAGACAGAAAGCAGCCACGACCAACGCTACCACTCCAAACTTCGTCCAAATGCAAAATGGGTACTAATACAGTTGCGACTAAAAAATAAGAGATAAATAGGACGATTGGTTAGTTTGCCTACACCGCCACTACCGCAATGCACTAAGAAAGCTTTAGCTTTTCCGAACACGTGACAACCTCGCTGCTACTTTGCATGTGACGGCATAAGCCAAATTGGGCACTGCCACCTGCGAACTGAAGCTATGGCAGCGTCACGCATGCAACACATTGAACGCATAGCGAGATCGGTCCATTGGATGTCCCTTGAGGACACTGCCACAATTTCAAAGAGAGAGGGAAAACAAAGGCAAACCTCACCCAGCTGTGCCTGCTGTGGCTCGGCCATCTGAATCAGGGCACTGTCCTTCTTGTTAAAGAGGATTTTGACCCTGATCACATCACCATAGACACCTGGAAAGGTTGACGACGGGCGCCAGCTAGCCGGTCAGTCACACACACACTCACCGCCAGCGAGGACCGAGCAAGAGAGATAAAGAGAAAGAGAGCGAGAGCAGAAAGAGCAAGGAGAAAAGGCCACAGCTGGTCCGGGCACACGAGAAAGATGCGGCGCCACCGGAGAAGCAGCACAAAATTTACGGCAAGGCAAGCCGATTAAGACTCCACACTCCGAGGCAAATTGTTTCGAAAACATGGCTTCATACGTCAACTCCACTTGCATAAAAAACACGTGACGATCCGAAAATTTTTTTTTTTATTAAAAAAATTAAATTTTTGGTGGTTTCTAAGCAAGCCTCCACCATAAGCAGTATAGGAAGTGTCTAGAGTTCCACACTTTGGAGCACTTCGGAGATGGGAACGGATTCTTTGCGGAGGACTTCGGAGGCGACAGAACCAAAGAAAAAATTTTTTTAAATGTCTTGAACGACTAGAATAAATCAAAATACAAAAGCAAAAAAAAAAAAAAAGAAAGTAGTGTTTTTGAGGTTTAGAAGTGGAAGCATTCGTATGATTTATCAGCCTCCACGAACTTTCAGTGAACTTGCAGTTCAATTTCAGATATAATGCAGAACTCTGAACTTGTAAAATTGCTAATAACAAGCTGCTTCTCCAGTAGCGACACTTCACGCCAGGTAGAACTCTTTTTGTCCCTGCAACTTTGCCATGCCCTCACCGTTCACTGAATGACAGGTGTTAAATTTTTCCATTGCTTACAGAATTTTTCTTAAGTTACAGACAGGCACTGCTGAAAGTTTGGATATAGATCCAAGTACGTTCCCCACTTTAGAAACAAGGCTGGCAATTGAAGCAGGGAAAAACCAAAATTCATTCACCAAACACAGCTTTATTTTTTCTTCTTTCCTGTCACTGAGAGAAATAGTGCGAGTCAATCTTTGCATGTAAGCTGCAGTCCGAGCACATACTTTTTTTTTTTTTTTTTAAGCTTGTGAAAAAGAGCATGTTAAAAAAGGTAGACCACGCCAAGACCATAACATAAAAAAAAGGAAGCATGTGAGTCACTGCACAAGGTACTACAAAGAGCAAAACTACTGCCAGCACGAAGATTGCACTCTCACCATTTCTCGCAAGTGCAAATCTATGTCTACTACTGTTACAAAATTTCAACTTTAAGCTGCCTCAAAAAAAAATTTTAAAAAATTAAAAGAAATGCAATTAAGAACTGCCGCAAAATACTGGGGAAGCACCCACCCCGCTTTTCACTGGAAACTGGGTTAATCTAGAGATGGGCACTTGTCCGGTTAAATTGGCGCTTAACATATGATCTGCTGACTTCCGGAGTTTGGGAAATGTTAATACTGGGCGCTTCCTTGGTATTTTGCGGTAGTGTCGAGCACTCCTGTATAAATCGGACAAGGAATTATTCTTATGGCAAGTTTTATCAATTGTAATTTTACGGCAGATGGTGTGCTAAAAAACCCCACTCCAGAAAAGAAAGTGAAAACTGAATTAGCTCCAAATGTCCGACACCAGAATCCATACTGACAAGGCTGACGCGCTACTCTTATTTCAGCTGTTATACTTTGAATCAACTGAATCAATGTCAAAACCCTAAACGAAACATCGGCGCTTCAAGAATGAAAATGTCAACATTTCGTCGTCAAAAATACAGAAGACTGCCTAAAAAGCAATGGCATAAAAACAGTCTCCAGTTAGATACATTACATTTTTCTTTCACTGGGAGCAAAGCAACAGAAAAATAATGAGATATAAAAGTTAATGGACCTTAGAAAAATGTATAAAACACTGCCAGCCCAAATGAACAAAAAAAAAAAATATTAAATGCCTAAAAAAAGTACAGGTAGCCAGTGCAGCAGCTCAGTGATAGCCGCAAGAGATGTCGAGCAAGTGTAGAAAGTCGCGCTAACAGATGCTTAAAAAAAAGTGGAAAATAAAAAAAGAGGCAGCTTCTACAAGACGCAAAGCAAAAACTAAAAAAGAAAAGGCAGTCCTATCGTTATTGACAGAGCAAGAACGGCAGTGGGCAGCCTCTTCTCCGGCATGCGCTGGGGGCCGAGCTTTGCCGTTCTAGCTCTGTCAGCAACTACACCGGTTAACAAGCGAAAAAACGTCACAACCGCGGCAATCCTGACGGCTGCGACAAGAGCGACGACATCAACAAGGAAAGAGAGAGAAAAAAAAAGAGAGATAACCAATGTAACAACAAAAAATAGACAGATAGTGAGAGAGAGAGAGACAGGAAGTGTATAAAAAGAGTGCTTTGATCCAAAAAACATACCAAAAAGGGTAAAGAGAGCGTCTGGCGTGACCATCTAACAGACAGGGCAGGGCATTGGTCAGAAGGGGACGGAACAACGTTTTTGGGTTGGTCCGCACACAAAGAAGATCCACACGAGCCAAGAGGGTGGGGGGAGGGGCCGGAAGGAGAGAGAGAGAGAGAGAGAAAGACAGAGAAAAAATAAAAATCAAAATAAGGGGAAAAAAATCATAATAATGGTAATAAGCAGTCATACTCGAGTGTCTCCGAGAAAAACGGCGGTGAGGGCAGGGGGTTGAAGGAGGGAGACGGTATGCATGTAAAAGGGGATACCTCCGCAACGCAAGTGCAGAGGAGAGAAAAAAAAAGCCATCTTCCCTCCTTTTCCTTTCCCCCTGCCCTCACCCAAAGTCACTAAATCTGAGGTATTTTGAGAGACTCGGTTCTACGACGGCTCGCACTCGAATCGTGTGTATAGGGAGCACAAACTGGCATTAAGCTAGCGAAGAAAACAGTAGCATTAGAAAAGACTGAAAGCTTTTTTTTTTTTTTTTCTTCCCATCGTTATTCCTGCGTCATACGGCCGGCAGAAACAAATGTTCCACTAAGGAAGTTTTTCCTGGTTTGGCAGCACCTCACCTAAAAAAAAAATCACAAAACTTTTTTTTTTTTTTTTTTTTTTCACTTTGGCAGTGTAGTATTAGTCAAAATAAATGCTTCACATTCATAAAAGCATGAAATGGCCACTGGATCTTATTTATTTGCGCCAGTTATCGCCAAAGGAACAGCACTTAAGCTAAAATTTCTCTTTTCCCTGCCACTACTACTTAAAACGAGTGGTTACACATAATCAACTATCAAACATCATAAAGCTGCAAGAAGACTGTTAATATGTGTGTAATCTTCACAAACCCATCAAAAAAAAAAAAAAAAAAAGTTCCTGCGAGTATTTCTTTGCAAGGAAAGACTTCTTTTTTGCTAATACACCATTAGGATTATCTTCTTGAGAGCTTGCCCTTGTCTAATTTTAAGTGCTACCGACTGCAGCCATTTCATGATCCCTTTTAACTTCGTAACTGAGAACATTGTGACACCAGCGGTTGCGTCGGCATTTTGGTGTTACTACCGACGAGTGCGACAACTTAATTACTTTCCAGCCTGGCGCTGACGAAGTCGAAAACAGGGTTGTCGGGACGGAGGCAGAGAACGGAAGAACACATGCACTGCTATTTGGATAACACTCCAAAAACACTGCACAATTCAAGCGCCAGATTTCTGGCCAGCCCTTGTACTCGAAAATGTGTGCCGGCATGCTTGGGAACAAGTAAAAAAGATAAAAAAAGGGAGAGAGGAACACAAGTCAGCAACTCAAAGAGAATAAAAGTCAGAAAAAGAAATAACAAAACTTTGAGAAAAAATATGACAAACAGCAGAGGAAAAAAAAAAAGAGCAATCTTGTGCACTGGCAGAAGCAGAGTTGGCTTGCAATGTTAGTGGCGGCAGAAAAGAGAGCAGAAAAACAAAATGTAAACTGGGCCGCAGATGATGAGATAAGTGTTTTAAGAACAATGAGCATGTGATTCTCTAAAAAGCCCTAAACTTTCTTTTTTTTTTTTTCCTTTTTTTTTTTTTTTGCTTCTCTCTGATAGCCAAACAAAAAGACAGATCTACGAAAAATAGAGACGAGCAAGCCAGCTTTGCTCCACATCACTAACAAATCTCCTCAACAACTCAAAAAAAAAAAAAGCAAGTTAGTTGTTGGTAAAGCATCAAACAAACACAGTGCAACTGGTCAAGTAAGACTTGACGAGGAATATGAAAAGAAACGGGAAGAGCATAAGGAACACTGATCCCCCCCCATGACCCTTAAAAAACGGAAGAGCAGAATGTGACGCAACAGAAACAACACGCAAAAAGTGAGAAGAAAAAAAGCGAGGGATGCCACAGGATCGACGCTTTGGTGACAGCAAGGAGAAGATAGAGATAGAGAGAAAGAAAGAGACACTAAATTAAGAAAGAATGACCAACAAATTTCAGGTGAAATTTCCGTAGGCACAAGAAGATGGGAGAGAGGGAACGTGAGAAAGGGACAGAAAGAGGCCGAGGCACGGAGATGCCTGAAGGAACTTTGGTTTAGGGCAACAATGGATGCAAAATCGGGAGAGACAAACAGGAGGGTCAAGAAACAAAATGAGGCGAGCAAGGTCGACAACAGCAAACTACTGCACCCAGCAAACATATGGAAATAAAATATCTTACTTTAAACGTGCAGAAACCATAGAGACCAAAGTGGAATTGCTCGTGCCATGCCTTGTGTTCCCAAGATTTAACTTTTTACCAATTAAGTGTGTACTCTTCCGGATTATTTTGGAGGCAACCTACTTACTCGTCCCTGAAACAAAACGAAATGCTGGTGGCTCTGTGGCAATTAACCTCCCGCAGAAAAAACAAAAGACTCCCACAGCCCCTTCTAGCCGACTTCAACCCGACCCTTATCCACATCTCGAAAATGAAGTTATGCCGAAAAGTCAGACGGGTGTTTGTCCCAATATTAGTCTGCTAAACAAACTATACTCTTAAATATGCCAAATGAAGGGAGCTGCAACCTACCAAACGCTGAGTAAAGCACTAAGAGCTTGGGAGAGTAGCACTTTGGCAATGGAACCCAAGCAAGCAGCGATGCCAAAAAAAAATAAATATATATATATAAACAGAGAGCAAGTGGCATCATGCCCTACCACCAGGAAGACAACTTTGAGCATGCAATCTGAATAAACCGCAAACCAAACCTTTTCCGAGAGTGCAGTTATCAAGAGCGGAACGACAACTGCATGCCGACGACCCCACCACAACCGGAGATACGGAAGACAAGAGCACAAACGACAGACAGCACGGAACACACCCAACGAGAAAGGAAAAGAAAAAAAAAAGAAGAAAGGACAGCGTTGGTTCGAGGTAGCGACGGCATTGTCAGGTGCAAAGTTGTCTCTGGTTCCAATCGGGTGCTACTTCTCGAGCGAATGGCAGAGGTGGGCACGTCTGCAAGAAAAGCCCACCAACAGCAGAAATCCAAGGGGAGGCTCAAGTCTGAACACATGTTTGAAGACGGGTTCTATTGGTGACCGGCAGCAACTAAAAGCATACCTTTGGCTGGCCTTCTGTGACTGGGCGAACATTTACTACAATTGCCATAGTAGAGTAATTTAATTAAAGCATATATGGATTAATGCTACGTTCGTCGATGGAGATACGAGTGGCATCAGACTGTCCACCTTGACGGAGTCGATTTGAGTTCAAGCCCCCACTGTGCTTCTTACAGACGTCTAACTTGCCGGTCAGAACCGACGATCCCGGTCTAAACGTAAAGGGTACGGACCACTAGAAATTCCTGCCGAAAATATGTCGTTGACGCCGCCGTCGCTACCCCGCCATAAAGCCGTCTCCTCCGCATGCAAGCACGCGCGGGACTGCGCACGCACAGGGGGGAGCCGGAAGGGACTTACCTGCTCGTTCAGGTTAGACACCAGGAGCACGCAGCTCGCGGTGCCCTGGCCGGGAAGCCGGATGCCGGCCATTCCCAGGGCCGTAGCCGCAGACGGATTCGAGGGCGACAGGGCAAAGCCGCCCAGCGGAAGGCCTGCAAAGACGCCGGGGCCCAGAGGCCACGGGCAGGCAGCCTCTGTTGGGATGCGCCCAGTCCGCCACGTTCGAGCTACCCATTCGACTCGGGAGGGGGGCAACGATCTACTCAACGAAGCATGCGCTCCGCGCGACGTGCAATACGCGGCGAGCCGGGGACAGTGCGGGGACTGTCTAAACAACTTAAGTGCCTCTGAGTGCGGCAAAAAGTGCTCGTTTAAAGCCCTAACCTAAAGGCTGGTTCACACACCTGAGACTGCTGCGAATAGAGTTTTTGCGACCTCTTACGACGAGTGAACAGGCGGCGCTCCCTATTGGGTGGCCCTGGTACATTAGGGATTTCCGTACGTTGGCCTTTCCTTTTCTGGTGCATCATTCTTTCTTTGTTGGCTGGAAAATCTTACAACAGTATTATAAACGACCATTTCTCACATTTGACCTGGCAAATACTGCAAAACCTTCACACTAGTGAAATTTTGTTTGAGGGCCACCTTACAGACGGCGCCAGCTTGCTCTCTCGCTGAAAGAGTCACAAAGAACTCGATCGCGAGCAAGTGCAAATGTGTGAACAAGCCTCAAGCAGTGGAAGTTGGCGAGCGCAGGCGTGACGTTCACACTAACGACGTAGCGCGGCACATCCTCTAGGATGTGGCACAGAACTGACTTTCATTGCACCTGTACCTTTTAAGAATGAATCGCAAAGAGCGTAACTTACACTGTCGAGAGCTTCTCTCTCAAATGTGCGTCGTCCCGAAACTAAAAATGAATTTCGGGACGACGAGGCCTTAGAGGAATACTGGCTTCGGACGAAACGAATGCTTTGACCTCGAGCTTCGGCACGTTTGGTCACGCCACATTGCCCCCGGGCTGCCGAAAGACTCGCACCATTGCATGCAAGACGCGCACAAAACTACAAACCCGTCTCTACTCAAAACTGTACTACAGCTACAAAAGAATACATCTTGCACTAAAGATACAAAAGAGTGCGGTGCAGTTCGGCTCACGAGAACGGTCTGGTTGACATCCGGAGAGGCAAGCATTACGGAGCGAGCCGGGAGCAAAGCGAAGACGTACGAAAAAGGCGGGCATGCACGTGCGACCAATGGGAGAAGGGGAAAGTGTCTAGGGAGGGGGAATTCGAGACCACTACTTCTACGCGACGAGGGCACTTGTCTAGGAAGGGGAGAAACTATACGGCCAACAAAGTCGGCAAACGCAACGCCAACCACATACCCTGCTTTTTCTCAAATTGATCTCCTTTTGAGGCGAATGTCGAAGAAGGGAGAGAAACAGGACAGATACAACTCTTTCTTTATGTTGTCTCGCACAAACACACGCACACACACTTGCACGCACGCAATCGCACCGACTTCCGACCGCGGCACACAGAAAGGAACGATCGCATCGACCGCTCAACAACACTGGCGTCGACGGCGCGAAAGCTGACGGGCGACGGGGGGCAAAGCGTCGAGGAAAGGGGAGCGTGGAAAATAAACAATAAAGTAAATGATAAAAAAAAAGAGATGCCAACAATCAGTTAGGTAGGTTCACGGTCCCTTCGTGTGTTCGATATGAAGACTCCACCAGCTTGCTCTAGTTAAGATTTCTCCCTGAAGGAAACACAAGGGCTCTTAAGAGTCCCTCACACAGAAGCTGCAAGCTCTGAAGAACTGCCGTCGTGACAACGTTAAAAGCTTGTCAAGAGCCCAAACAAACTCTCACAACTCCAAAAAAAATGAGAATGGCTTGACCAACATTTGATTCTGCATTTACCACATGGCAGTAACTGAGCAATATGAATGTCTGAAGCCAGTGCTGTGGCTTGCAAGGTACCAAGTTACCTCCGAAAGCTCATGCAGACCCCTTTGTGTAACTTTACAAGTTCCACAAAGGTTACGCAGGTGGTCTTGCATTGAGAGACTCAAACTGACAGGCGAAGAACTCTAGGGCGGTGTTCAAGGGTCGCTTTCTGTGGAGTCCCCAAGCCGAAGGCACGGAGGAAATCCGCGGGCGGCAAAAGAGGCTCGTGTGGCTGCACTGCAGAGGAGGAGGAGGTACGCAGGGAGGATAGGGGGGTGTGGGTGGGTCGGGGAGGGGCCCTACCTGCTGTTGCGCTGGCAGCATAGGCAGCGGTTAGTGGGGAGCCTAGGCCCGGGCCGGCAGCAAACGGGGACGCCAGAATACCCAACGAACCTTTGGGACCAACACAACAGCGACAGACAGGGCGCCGGGGTTACCAACTTGGGGCGGTCTCTGTTCCCCGCCACTCGGGGCTTTGCTTGTGCAAACCCAAACATAAACACACATGGGACTACCCGCCCCAATGGGGACTATCAAGATCGACTGTGTCAAAGAGGGGAATACCTACGCCTCAAGATGGCAAACACAATAACGTCATCGCATTCTCAAGGATAACGACGAGCAAAGGACTTGACCATGTTCGAATGGCGTCTACTTCTCATTCCACCTTACGTAACAGCTCATGAACTCTTGTCCGGTTATCACCGTTTTTATTCGTGATTTTGTAAGTCGCAACGGCTCGTATCGACTCATGGCCTGCCTAAAAAGTATGGATTGGAATTCCAAGAGATTTTTTCCGTTTGACGAATCAGATCTGAAACTTTGAAAGCGCTTCTTTCGCTAGGATTACAATCGAGGCAAGGTGGAAAATGTCGACAGCTGGTGCCCTCACTGGGGACTGGAGTGCCGACGTGTCCGACGCAGACTAAGTCCTCCTATCGAATCCTTCCAAAACAGCTAACAATCACATTTCATTCACAGCCTAACGTTAGCTTTAGTCAGAGTTTGGAGATTTCGTGGGACGATGAGAGAAACGCCGGGACAAAAGCAAGCATTGCGATTCGACCGTTAGACCTCGTTTTCCTCAGCCTCCTTCCGAGTTACACCAAAGATGTACCGAAACAAATATTTCAGCTAGGACAAGAATGGGGGGTGGTTTGAGGACTGCAGGCTTCCTTTACAAAACAGTTACACATTGGAACAGAGGCACCAAAAAAATTCACATGAAATACAATAAATTTGTTCTAAGTCAATGAGACTCACTGCAGAAGCTTAAAAAATTCGTCACACACGCGAGAAAGAACTGTGAATACAATCCTTCACTACATTTAATGAGGAATAAACGAAATTAAATTCTAGACATTCCAACCAAAGATTACTGTTACAAGTAGGGCTGTGGGTAATGTCCCTCTTAGTTTGACATGCTCGAATGAATGTTTTCAATGACACTGTAAAATCGTTGTGCACACTTTCTCCAATGTGACTAAATAGACCGTGAAGGCCTTGTCCATGCCCGTCTCAAAGAGCCTACAATGCTCATCCCTTTCTGACCAACTACATCTTGGAAACACATTCTGAAACTAACATGGTTTTAATGTAAAAAAAGCAAGACTGCTAAGAAATTGTTCTAAATAAAGGACAATAATTTGGAATTCTGCACACTATTGCAAAACATTTACACTATCACCACTGCAGCAGTGGAGGCAAAAAAACAAACGCACAAAATAAATCCTGCAAAACAAAGATTGACAATGCACTCGAACAACCGTCTTTTTTTTCAAACCCGATCTCCCGCCGACTGCACACGCCGCCCACACCCACGATCCACCGAAATGGCCGACGCACTTCGGACGCCTCAGTAAATAAAACTGATCTTGCGCGCGCCTCGAAAACTGACCATTCATCCAAACGCTCGACAGTTTACCAGAGAGAAGCCCAAGCAAACCGTTGCACGTTCGCAAAAACTACCTGGCTAGAGGGTTGCCAGGGAGCGATCCGTGCGCTTTCCCCGGAGAACAGTGCACGAAACTCATTTTACGACTGCCGCATTTACCGTCCCATTTACCAAAAGCGGTCCCGAAGCAGCAACAACCAATGTCGCGGGGGCCGTCGGCGTGCCGCGCCGTCGAACATCGAGGATCCTGGCGGCCGGTCTTGGAAATTCTCGCAAAAGTAACGAGCGAGGGCAAACGTCCCGGTCCATCGCATCATCCCCAACCCACTGACTGCTAAAGTTTCCGGGAAACGTCAAAGCTCCAAACGAGGACGCGGTGAAAGCACCCATCGGAGACATGCTCTAGGCGTTGTACCCGAACCAACGTCTTCTAGATGACAACGTCATAGAGCCGAAGTTTCCGCGCCGTGTAAAGAAGGCCGACGGCGAGACACGGATTGCGTTCGCCCCGGCTAAGCTTGCGTCTCGACTGAGCGCGGCATTCATGTCAGATCTGCGTCCGACGTCCTTAGGCGACACGAAAAATTCGGCGCCAAGGCTCTTGTTGTTTAGGAGACGTTGCCTCGGCACGGGGAGGGTTGGTTCGCGAGCTGACCTGCGAGGCCGAGGTTGTCCAGCGTGGGGTCCCCCGTGGGCAGGGTGGGGTTGGTGAAGTCCCGGCTCTTGTCGTTGTTGTACTTGACATTCAGGTTGGTCAGCTTCGAGTACTCGATGCGCAGCGTGCAGCAGGCGTTGTAGATGCTCTGTCCGTCCAGCGCCTGCGCGCGGCCGACGAAACGGGACCCTCTCAGCGTCCGGCGACCTGATACCATGTTTCGTTCCGAGCACGGGTGTGGCAGAAGCCATGAGCGCGAGCTCCGGAGTTTCGGAGTCCTCGCCGAGCACGCGTGCTCGTGCGGTGCAAGCGTCGTTTGGGGCGGCGTACTTGTGCTCGTAGCTTCGGCTAATGCCCCCTATCAAACGGCACCGGTAACAGACTTCTGGATCCCTCGCGACCGCTGTATTCACTATGAAGTCCCATATATAGAATGAGACTCTTGCAAATGACGCACGCATGTTTAGTCTACCGCCAAACGCCGCCATTTATGTAAAGAGGCCACCATATGGTGACACAATGAGGTTTGATCCCGGTGCAAATCGCATTTCCAAGCCGGAACACCGTCAGCTCAAGCTGTACATTGCTCTAATTCCGTAAAGTACAACGGACAACCTGCTCGTGGCTTATGAATTGACCTTTGCATCTACTTTTGCTCCAAGGCAGGACATGTGGTGCAGTTCACGAAGAAAGCGTAACAAACAACGAGGCGGAGATAATTTCACCGTCGACACAAAGCGCGACGTTTCACGCGTAGGGAATCCGGTGTAATCATGCTCCCTTGAACAAACACTTTGTGCAGATTTTTTGCTCACACGAAAGATGTGAGCACACAAACCCGCGACACCACAAATGACATCGGAGAACACACGATAAAGACTTAAAACTCACCAGCTTGGCCGCCTGGGCTCCCATCACGTCGCTGAACTGAATCAAGGCCTGGAATGTGTCTGAAAAAGGAGCGGAGAGACGGGTGAAAGCTTTAATCTGGGGGGGGGGGGGGACACCCACAAAAGAACTTATTGAACAGCCAGTCAAACACTAAAGTCCCAACAGAAATTTCAACATGGGTTAGTATTTATGGGTGACCTACTGCTTTTGGTGAAGGTGACGATCTTGAGGACTTTTCCCGCCCGACTGAAGATGCCGTGCAGCAGGTCCAGAGACACGGGATAGATCTGGTTGTCCACCACCACCCGAAGGACCGTGTTCGAGCCGCCCGGAGACTCTCCCTGGTTCGCTTGTGCAACCTGACGCCCACCCCGAAAGACGCGTCCCATCACTGCAGGCGCAAACACTTTGTAAACGAACGATTTAAATTTTCATTCTTGCATTCCAAGGAGGAAAGCAAGGTCACAGCTACAGAATCGCCAAGTGTACGGATAGGGCTCTGCGTTTTCACTATATATCGACAAACCCCGAAAGCACAAAGCCATCTTTTTTGCCCATGCATAGGCAAAAAAGACGACACATTCCACAAAACGCCCATCTCACCAAGGTAATGTTACCTCTCCAAATAAAAAAAAAAAAAAAAAAATAGGAAGGGCACAAAAAATTAAAAAAAGAAGCACCAACGCTGCCACTCACCAAATTGCCATGCATGCCCTCAGTCTTGAGCTCCCGGTGGTTGGAAAACTGGACGTAGACCACGCGACCTCGGACGGTCGGAGACGCCTTTGTGAAGTAGTCCACCATGGACACGGCCGAAGCCTCGTCGGACATCTCGAGGAACGCCTGCGTACGTCCGACTTGTCATCGACCCGCTCCGGCAGACTGCTAAACTCCGTGGGGTGTCCACGAAAGAATGGTGCACGTTTCAAGCCAGCAACAAACTGCAGCTACGACCCAGAAATTTGCATCCGCACATCTTGTTGAGGCAAGGAAGTGCAGAATCGCAGTGAAGAGAAGAGAATAATGAAATTTATAAATGATGAAGTACATAACGCCATCGTCAAGCCTCTTCATTCTTTCGTTCCCGACGTGAGCAGACGTGAGCATCGCCGTCCCCGCGGCCCAAGCAGTATGATGTCTCTCGACACATAATGCGCCACACGACAGCGTCCTCCATTTACTTTGTCTCTTTGCTCAACCAGCCGACTTACTACTTTATAAAAATGCAGAAAAGAACTATGCCTCCCTCTCTCTTTCACTCTCTCCATAGTTTGTGAAGTGTCATTAGCAGAGCTAGCCGACCGGTCAACCGTTTGGTCGTCGGACTACCAATAGGTGGCGATTCTTAAGAGTAGCTAGGTGACACGAGGCTCGCTGTGGAGCACGAGTTTGGAAGGAGCCGCTGTGCACTATTGTACTTCGTTCATCCCTAAGCTGACAGTGCAGTGAAAGCTACATGCTCATTGAACCATGCATACGACCCTCTTTTGCCACATTATCCCACTTTGGTCTGCACCCACAAGCAGAGAGAGGGACCAGGTGAAGAAAAATGTGAGGCGGCCGATTGGTTCGCCGCTTCCACCTTGCCGTCAGCTTAAGGCGAAATGAAGTATAGCAATGCTGTTATACGTCATAGTCTGCTGGAACGCAAGATCTCCAGAAGAAGCTTTGCCTCCAGCACCGTGCTTCCGCAGCACGTACAACAAAGAGCAATCGAAGGTAGGAAGCTTGCGCTGGAGGCACAATTTCTAGTGCAGATCTCACGTCGGAACAGGCTCTAGCCGAGCCGATCTTCTCCTTTAACGTCACAAAAGGAAGGGAGGGACGCACCTGATTCTTGCCCTTGAGCTGCAACACGTTGGTCACCTTGCCGAAAGGAATGCCCAGGTGGACGATGTCCGTGTCTGTAGCGTCGTTGGGAATGTTGCGGATGTGGACCACCCGCGACGGCTTGCCCAGGCCGGATTTGCTGTTGGTGTCCAGTTTAACCTGCACCCGTACAAAGCACAACATTCCTTCCTCGTCGCGTATGCGGCAAGTGCCAAATCTGTCCCGAATTTGCCAGTGGAGAAACGGGACCTCTAACCTCCCATTCTAGCCTGTCAAGATCCATTCACCAGATAATAAACACAAGTCCCACTGCCCCACTCCGAAAACATGCATAACCAGCATTGGCTTCCTGCCTATGCTCTGCTCATACCTAAGCCGACACTGTGCTAAGAGCTACGCGCCCACTGGACCAATCAACCTCCTTTCTTTCATCACATGACCTCGCTCTCGGCACGTGGGCATGGGCGGGAGCGTGACCATATGCAAAAGATGGATGTACAAACGGTCCAACGTGCACGTAGCTTCCACCGCACTGTCAGTTTAGGGGCGAGCGTCTTTCTCTGCCAAGTGGTAATGAGAGGGGCGTGCCAAACCGAGTGTCATTCTTCTCACCTTCTTGGCGTCATTGTTGTTGTCGCTGTGATTGTTCTGCGGACTCATAATGGAGCCATTGCTCACAGCGCTGTTCTGCGTCAGCAGCTCGTCTGAACCGCGCTGCAATAGAGAGAAGAAGAAAAAAGGAGGGGAGGATGATTACATGCCAGAGACGCCAAGACATCTCCGCATAATTTACATTCGCTGCGCTACAGGCCAAAAATTGGCCATGCTTGAAGCTATATTGAGTCTTTTCCGGCAAAGCCTATGCAATTGAGTTCTGTCGAAAGGAGTGATGACTAGGTAGTTTGAGCAATAAAAACCATTCCCAGCATTGTCACGACCGTTCCAGGTCAAAATAGTGCCGATACCCAAGATTGTTAGACAGAAGGTTACTACAACGGTAGTGAGGCAACGCGTGATTCAACTACAAATGAACTCATCAAACGCTGAGCAGTGTTCATTACCAACTACCTGTCACAAACCAAGAGTAGTAGTAGTAAAATGCTTAAAATATGTAAGAGCATGATGCTGGACGATACAAACAAATCGGAATCGTTAACAAAACAGGGATACTGTAAACTTTATTTTTGCAGGCTGAATATTTCGCGATTTCAGCAGAGTGCAGATTTTACGAACATTTGGAGAGCACTAAATTTCGCGATTGCTCCGTATTCGTCACCACGGGGAGACATATTTGCGGGAACACTTTCATACAACATATTTTTAAACCCGAAAATATGAGATGGCTGTAAATGCCATCCACGCAGTCGCCAATATAAACAGACTAAGCATGCCAGTGACAGCCCCATACACCTATGAGCCATTCAAACTCAAATCGTGGCTTTGCCCATGCCCCCAAGCCCAGAAATCACCCCCACGACGTCAACAGGAAGACTAACAACCCCGTGGAAACCACACCCATAAGTCCGCGTGCAGTCCTTATTAGAGGCCATAATCTCCTTTACGGCGCGGCACGTCGCACATGAGAGCTTTATCGGAGTGTGCACGCACACACGCGCAGAGCGCGAAAGGTCGAGTGGCCCAGAGATAGCCAGGGGACAGGTGCTCACGCCACAGGAGCGACCACAAGCAAACCTAAAAGTGGCTCGATAAAGACCCTTCCTTTCAGTGACAAGAGCAGCTGTACGACTTCTCAGGAGTCTGAACTCTTGGAAGACGACGACTGATCACTCCCTCGGCACCAAGGAACGAGCAAATTTAAAGGGACAATGAAGACAATTTTATTTAATTTTTTTTAAATGGAGTTTTTATGCTTCTTCGGAACATAGCATGCTGCCTAATTTTTTTGTAGACATATGTGACGCGCATTTCTGTGCCTACGAAAGAAGTAAAGAAACCGAAACTGAACAATCTCCATTCTCGTTTCTGGGCCACCGAAAACTGAGGTGACGTAGGGAGGGACGTCAAGTGTGAATAGTCGGTATCGGTAGTATTTAGGAGATCGAGACTCTGGTTACGGCAGTGGGTTACTTCATTTCATTTCATTTATTGACGTCAAATCGCCCGAAGGCATTGCATGAGGGGGGAGGAGACAAGGTGACTATATTCTAATACAAAATACATGCGAATGAGAGAAAGACAAAACATCAGCACATACTTAAAAGAATACAGTATGCTTTAACTAACCAAGCAGACGACAGTCAGTGGTAACACAAGCGTATATACCAATAAAGGTAAAACATGCAGGTAGTGTACACGCACAGTACGCAAAAAAAGAAAAAAAGTTAGTCACTGAACAAAGTTTCACGGGAGTCTCTGAAAAGAGTCGACGTCCACTAGACCCGCAACGGATTCAGGTAGACTGTTCCAGTCTTTAATGGCTAATTGCAAAGGCGATTCCGAATATTGTTTGGTGCGACTAGGGGATAATCTTATCTTGAAGGGATGATCAATCCTAGGAGAAATATGGTACGGAGGGAGCAAAAGTAGTTTCCTGAGTTCCTGGTTGAAGTAGTAGATTTTATGTAAAAATGAAAGCCTCGCCTGTTTACGTCTGCTACTCAGTGATTGCAAGCCTGCTCTCGATTTCAGGGCAGTTACACTGGACGAGTGTGAATAGTCTTTATAAATAAAACGCACAGCTTTGTTTTGTACGGACTCTACTTCTGTGTAAGATTTATTTGCCATGGGTTCCAAATCACACTAGCATATTCAACTTTAGAACGAACAAATGATGTGTATGCAAGGATGTGGACTTCTGAAGGAGCTAAGTACAGGTGTCTTTTCAAGTATCCCAACGATTGGTTAGCCCTACCAACAATAAAGTCTATGTCCAGTTTTTCCAATCCAGTTTTTCAGTTAAGATAATGCCAAGGTACTTATACTTTGTTACCCTTTCAAGATTTGTGTTGGCGAGTGTATAATCAAAAGTAATATTGCTTCTCTTGGTCGAGAATGTCATGACTTTGCTTTTTGATACGTTAACACACATTTGTGTGTTAATGCGCCGTACGTAACACATTTGTGTGTTACGTACGGCGCTGTCATTTCGTCGAATCTGTCAACATGGATGGCAATGCCGCTCTCAAGAGCGAGTTCGAGCTTCCGTTCAGTGACCCCACACAAACGGAACGGAAGCCCAGCCGGTAACAAGCGGCCCGCATGCCGAAGAGCCCATAGTTGCTCGTTGCCGTTTCGCATCCAGCGTAGCAAATAAAAAAAACTATTATGCTGCTTTATTTACAGTTTAATAATCATTTCCAGTCCAATTTACACTTTTCATGGTTATTAAAGCGGAAATTAGAACAGTTTTTCTAAAAATCGCGACACAAAACGTGATCGAGGGCACGTCTTTCATTTCGACAAATCGCTGACGCATCTCTTGTGACGTCGCGCTTCTTGGCCCTGCATCGGTCACGTGAGCTCCGCTTCTCCTGGTGTCTCCCGCAACTACCGGGGCGTCGCCCCAGTCGATCCCGGTATGATCATTACCGCGACTGTTTAATTGATTTGTGCGGCACACAAGCGCTGGTTTCGGCTGAAATTTGGGCAACGTGGTTTGAGACATGATTGAAACCCAGTTCAATCGCCAAAACGATGTCCGAAATTGCCTTCATTGTCCCTTTAAGAAGATGCACGGCGAAGAGTCGGGCGAATCGGTTGTACCTGATTACAAAGAGTGAACTGTGCAAAAAAAAAGAAAGGAGGCACAAGAAGATGGGGTGGTGCACAGACGGAGTGCCGACTTTTGACCGATTTATTTTAAAGAAACCCATAACGACTTGGAATCAGTACATGAAAAACACAGTCATCTGTCACAAACACGCAAAAGAAAAAGCCATCTCCTTCTCGTACAATGCAATTAGAGGGGCATTAACGCATCTATGTTTGTGCTTGGAAATAACAAGTTTCCAAAATCTCCCTAGTCATCGGAAGACCACGATTATCTAAAATCGGTTCGCAACCGCACCTGTCACAGCGCACTGGCACTGGGCCCTAGCTTTCTGGCAGCGCACGGGCACTGCCAGAAAGCTAGGGCCCAAAGGTTCTTGAATTTAGTTCCTTTTTTTTAGCCGTATCGCCCAAACCTGTGGCTGAGAAAACAAATTCCCTCCCTTGTACAGGTGTTATTCCAAAGCAGGGGTCTCAAAACACGCAGCCTGCTTATTTGCATGCTGCCCGCGGGCTGTGTGTCTGGAATGCTCTGAAATGCGGCCTACAGGCGTCCCAAGGTTGCGAGCCCCCCTTCCCATGCCCGGATTAGAGCACACATGTGCCGTAAATAGCTTTATCTTCTGGGTTCATTTACATTTAAAAAGGAAGGAGCTCTGCTCATATAACGTGTTCACACATTTTGCACCATTCTGTTTTCTTTTGGATTGAGTATTGCTTCACCTCTATATTTGCTTCCCAGCCCTTTCTCGTGCCAATCAACCGGAATGGCAATACCACGACTCAACTAGGCTACAACCGCGAGCTCTTTGCTCGAGGAGGCACCTTGGCTGCACAAACTCTCGCTTCGCAGGCGCAACTGCCAAGGATAAAGCTACGAGTTCAAGCTTCTTGCCGTCAAACAATACCTTCGGCACAATAGAGGTCTATTGTGCGACGGGGCAAGGACGGTTTGCTTGCTACAGTTCTACTGAAAACTGCCAGTACATTGGCATTTTAAATCTTGTCATAACATCAGGTGTAGGCCCAAAATAGTCGCATACGCAAATGAAAGCTAAAGATGGCAGATCTGCGAGCTTACAAAAAGTAGAGAGAATGAGGTTCCTTCTCTAGAATATCCCTGGGGCATTGCTGGGACAGTAGGCTGCTTTGCAACGTGAAAGACCACTGCTGTTTGTATTTATTTTTTTATCTAAGAGGTCAAGAGGTGGCCACTTCAGACCATCGGAAGCGTCCACATCTCGGACAAAAGCAGTACTCAAGCGAGAACCGAAGTGTACTGCACCACCACGTCTTGATGAGATTGACAAAGTTGCTCTAAATAGAACCAGCGGAGGCATCCAGTTCTTCGCAATGCCAAAGGGGTCCCATGCATCTAGGCACGAGGTTTAGTCGCATGGTACAGGAACTTAGAAATAAAGACCTGATGATATGTGTATCAGATAAAGGAAGGGGCTTTGTTGTCCTGAATTTAGGGACGTACAGCAGGGTTGGAAGCGAGCTTCAGCCTTTTGTAGCAGTTTCGAGAGCAGCAAAAGTGCCACTTTGGAGCAGCTTTGGAGCAATAAAGTTTATATTTTGGAGCAGCTCAGAAGCAGAAAAAGCAGAATTTTGCAGCAGTAGAAGCAAGTTTTGGAGCTGGCCAGCCAAGAGACTAACAAGGGCATACCAGTTTTCTAAATAAAAAAATTTCATACCAAAAAATGAGACATCCCATAATCCTTCTCAAGCCTACCCTTACTTTACAAATATTTGAACTGATAAAATTCAGATCAGACACCATAATTTCAATTTATGTGAATAGCTCCTATTCAGAACTGTTGTGGTAGCAGACTCATTCCACCTGTAGATTTCCAATAAAAGGTACAGCCGACTAAAGAACAACTTGGGCCTCGTGAAAACAAAACTGCCTATTTAACAAACTAGATTGTAAATTACTTGTCTCCTGAAAACAAAAGAATTTCAAGATGCAGTAGTATGGTTTG